ATTATTGCATGGCCTAGAACAAATCAATAATGAGCGGCTGATCAAGATATTAAGGAAATATTAGACACCTTTCTATCTGCTAAACATTAGCGACGCAACGAAGAACATAACAAGGAAAGAGAGGCGATCGACTGACCTTCATCGAATGAGGTTGACGTTCAGGTGTACGAGCATGTATCGGTAAGCGGGCCGACTTCCGAGTATATTTGCTCCTATTACTTTCCCAAGCCAAAGGGAGCTGCTTCTTCCGCGAGGTCGCTTCTAAAAATCTCGACCATTCAACTTCTCTATATCCGTGATCTTGATGTCGCTGTCTTCCGAATCTGCCGGACTCGGAGAGCCCATTGGGTTATTATTCAATGCATTCGGCCGTTCTCATGAAGCTGAAATGGCAAGTTGATTTCTTTCATATTTCTTTCTTCGGACGAAGAAATTTTGTGCCTTCATCTTCGTTGGTCTTTTCACAGGATGTCGATGGATATCATGCATGCTACAGATCTCTGTCAGCTTCCAAGATTCTTCGGATGCGCGATAAAGTGCCTGTTAATGGGGATCTCGCTCGACCTTCCAAGTTGGAACGACGCTTGCGCCCCACGGGGGTTCTGAGCTCAAATTCAGTGGCGGCCATGAACATCTACACGTGTTGATTCTCTCGTCTCTGAGCTTCGTTTTTTTTTCTTCACTCACGTGCAGGTACTGTAAAGCTTCCATACATAAATCGGACCCTGTTTCGCGTCATAAATCCCGGGCCTGATTGCTTCTCTAAACCCTGAAGGAAGGAAGTGAACCCTGTGACGCTGACATTCCCTCAGGACTTCGTAAGTAATCTTACCGTGCCGAGAGATCCGATGCCGATTCGCCAAAGCTCCCGGTGCTTGTGGCTTCGGATGGGGTACTGTTTTTTCCCTCTCTGATCACAGCCGCTTCTCTCCGGGTCGGAGTAACGACCGCGTTCGCGAAATAGGCGACGTCGGTCTCCAGAGTGTCCTGTTGGAAAGGTAAGTGTTCGACACCGGGGTACGCATCCGTACGGTTTCTTTCTATATGTGTTCTTCAAGTTTTTGGGGAACGGACATCAAGGTATTCAGTTGGAACATGCTGATTCGAGCACCTGGTCCCGGCGTTTATCTTGACCATCTGCGCTTCTTCACAGAATGATTTCTACAAAACGGTCAACCAGCGTCTTGGATTTTTAAGGCGTGTTGGACGTCGAGGCTGTCTTCTAAAGTTTCCGGTCAATTAGCAGGTATGTGGGTCCTCGTACTCACGCAGGCTCAAGCGTGTTTGATCACTGGGTGTCCTCGTGACCGCACGTTGCCGGCTGCCGCGGCACTATAGCGGCATCAATAATCATCCTTTCGTCTTGCAGTCATGCAGCCATATCTGCCGCAGGAGCTTATCGACGAGATTATCGATCGCATTCAGGATGATTCCCTAGCCCTCAGAGCATGTTCTTTGGCTGCTCGTTCGTTCCTACCGTCCAGTCGCAAGCGCCTTTACTCCCACGTCATAATCTTCCAAGATGGCGTTGATGCGCCGTTGCCTAACAGTTTTGCTGGTAGCAAGTTTACCTGCGAATCATTTTACAATTTGCTTCAGGAAGGGATTGCCCCTGTCGCGCCTCTTGTCAAGTTCCTTAGCATACAGGACGGTTTAGAGGGAACACCAGGCTACCTAGTTCACAGGGAGAAAGTTAGATTCCCATTCATTCTTGATTTACTCCGGAATCTGGAGCGTGTATCTATTTCCAGTCATCGGGGTTCTCTGTCTTGGGATGCACACGACACTCCTATCGCATCTTTCCTCGAAACATTTCAATCTCCTTCACTAACGTCTCTTGATCTCGATAATCTCACTTTCTGTGGTTTTGATGGTATTGCGCGTATTCTCTATGAATGCAGCGACACTCTCAAGCATTTATCTCTCAACTACATCACAATATTTTCGAGGGATGTGGATATCCAAGATCTTACGGCCAAATATGATGGTCGTCATCTCCATCTTGAGTCACTTCGACTCGTGGAAGATGACCTGGGTCTCGTAGCCAAGTTCATACTGCACGAGTCCTCTCCATTGAGGATAGATTGCCTTCGAGAGCTTTCTATCTCCTCGAACCGGCATAATTCCTTCGCGGGACTCGTTGCGGGTACCCGTGATACACTCGAGCATCTTGATTTTTTCGTGAACCACAATGGTACGCCAGATCTACATCTGTATGTCAATGTTTTGCTAACGCTGAAACAGGGGATATCACCACGCCCTTATCCATGAAGGACCACAAGCGTCTCAAATCCATATATGTGGGTATAGGCAACCATGTTACGAATTTGGCCTGGATAGACTCCATCCCTCTCAATCCCACGATCGAAACGCTCACTCTCGAACTGGTCAACCCCGATGTCTCTGACAAGTCGTTACTATGGGCGCAGCTGGACGCCCGCACATCGGGAGCATCATTACGCGAGGTGAACGTAAAACTCCACGGTCTGAGCCGTCCGAGTCGCAACCCCCACTCGTGCGAGCCATATACATGTCGCGACTATGTGGCGTGTGCCGATGGATCTGCTATACTGGCATTGGTGGAGGACCGGTTGCCCACCCTACGAAGTAAAGTTCGATTGATGGTTCAGGAAGTAGCGCGTATGTCATTTCTCTTCTACGGTCCGCCACGTGAGGCTGAGTCTTAATTTATCAGAACGAAGACTGCAAGCTGGAGGTATGTGGTCTCGGCATCTGGCGTTCGCTTGACGGGAAGGCCCCACAATGCTCGCCGACTGTATTCTAAGATGTAAATTGGGCCGTGTGAGGAATTCAAGGATTTGAATATTGTACCCGATGTATATATTTCCATACATAGCGACTATTCTCCCGAGGGTTCGCACAGTTGCGGTGTCTCTTACAGGTAAGCTAGTCTGCGTAAGTGGGCGCGATGACCTCCTTATGATCACAGATGTTTCGACGCGTAAAATGTCAGTTGGCTCAATAGTAATTATTATGCATTAAGCGCTCGGCGGAAAATGCTTTAAATCAGTCCAAACTACATCATTCGCACAGCCATCAACAGGGTGTCGCGAGGGACCATCATGGATAACCTCTCAAAAGAATGATCTAGTGTGGGGAAAAATCATTGTGATACAACTGAGAACGCATCATGTTCTCCGTTATCACCGCCGGGTACCTCAGCTATTGGCAGTATACAGTCTAGCTTATAGAGCACTAATAGAGCACCATTCATTTCGCTAAATTTTGAAACGTGGGAATTTGGTTAGAGGGCCAGGCATATTTTGGATGAAGACCGCATGAGAACGATAATAAGTCCAGTCTGTCACCTTGATCGTATTCATCTGTCTAGCAAGTTGTCGAAATTACATCAAGCCTTTACTCTGAACTGTTCGCTCACATAAATGAAACTTAAGAAGCCAGCTTCCAGAAAAAAATTTTCTATGAGCCCGGGTGGCGATCATAGTTGTTCACGATGATGGTCGCTTATGCGCCACCCATTCTCCGAGGCCTTTTCTTTCCGAGAGCCTGGGCACGTTGCCAGACGACTGTGGACTTCCATCATGTATATTCTTATATCTGTGAATTGAATTGCCTGTTAGTTGTCACCAGTCGTTGCCGCTTTAACGTACACTCATGATGCAAGTACCGAGGTCTTTAGAACTATCACGACTCAAAAATTGTACTTCGTTTTACCAACTTGAAGATAAGGAATCAGATATTCGAAGAAACAACCGGTGAGGGGTAAAGTACAAATGCGTTATCTATGACAGCTTTTACAGAGTCCCAATCAAGTGCAACGGGAGCGTCGGCTCATTGGATCGTGTCCTTTGACATAACGAATAAAAATAATCTAGCTTCGTTCAGTTTTCACCTCTTCGGGTATGCTCTGCGGCCACCCTTCCTGCGAAATACATTCACCGTAGCTTGTGTTAAAGTCAATAGAGTTCTGGGTTTTCGATTGTTGATGAAAATTCCCAGCGCCGTGTGCAGCTTTGCCAGTGGAGCGCCCTCGCACAAGCGTTCATCAACTACTCGATCACACAAGTCGATCACCGAACGATGTTCCTTCTCTAGAACTCTCATTGCCCCGCCGACGGTACCCGGGCCCGGTGCATCGTAAAAAGATATGCACACTTAATTATAAGATTTATGATCCCTGAATGGTTCACTTACTCGTGTTAAGAGGAGCCCTGACGGTGAACCGGTCTAGAACCAAAGCGCGGGAATGGTTCAATGACCGACTCGGAGCCTCCAAAAAGTGCTGTTACCGCTACAATATTGTAGATGAAATATGGGAGAGATAAGTGATTATGTAGCACAAGCTTCACCAGGACCTGGTACTTGGTTTGGAAGGAAAGCAGAATCTGTACCTGTAATCCAGAGCCATCAAATCGGACGCTAAAAGACTTTGAGGCGCAAGCTAACGATGATGTGCAATCCTCAAAGGCCCAGAGCGATCTCTGATATCTTCGTACTTTTCTCAGATATGACTGCAGATCTCGGGGTACCGGTGCGAATTTCGAATAGCAGACACCCCAGATTCGACGTTCAGACCTCGCCATGAATCTCACCGCAAGGGTGCGGGTTGCTAGCTATGCACAACACTTAAGAGACATGGAAACGAAACAGCAATGAACGATTTAGGATACATGAGTTCGTGTACAGGGACATTGGCCGGTTGAAGAGTACGACGGCAATGAATGAATAGTATACCTTCACCTATTGCGGCTCCGACTCGAATCGCCAGAAGAAGAGAGGGTAAACAGGCGTACCGGTTGTAGCGTTTGTTATGCTTATGCCACGTTGTAGCTCTAAGAGAGACAGACGAGGGACAGCAGAAGCGCGGGGATTGGAAGCTGTCCCAATCAAGTAGTATCGTAAACCAGACTCAACGATCCGTATGAAGGTAAGTCGTTCAATCCGGGATGTAGAGCATTGATCGAGACGGGTCTCAACAGTTGATCGATCGTGTACTATTAATGGAAGCAGACTTGCATGGCTCAATGGTCTAGTAGTATGATTCGCGCTTCGGGGTGACTAATCCAGTGCTTACGTAAGCATTATTGTGCGAGGTCCCGGGTTCAAGTCCCGGTTGAGCCCTGTTTTATTAGACGATGATGCATTCTAATTTCTCTTTTTCAAAAATGCTCAAAGGCATTAACTTATCTCAAAAGATTTACGTGAGTACGACTGTCTTTCTTTTTTGATCGGGGTTTCCAGCTCCGATTGCTAACTTAGGTCTCGGTCCGATCAGCCACCGCGACGGTCTTGCCTTCATACGTGACCATGTGTGCTAAAACGATGATTACCGAAGTTCTTACATCCTTTATTGGGCGTTACTTTGATCCCTGCGCCTTCTACTATTCAACTACGCCGCTGTATTTCACTGGTGACTGCGTCGTTTATCTCCTAGGCTTCTTCGAGAGGCAGCTTCATCGCCCCTCGGGCCTCAACTACGGGTATCCCGATACACTTCACGTATCACAGCCGTAAGGACCCAAGTTGCGACGGCTTGTCTTCAATGTGTAACTATCCTTCTTTCCTGCGACATCTGCCATTGAATCCTACTTATGCACTCGCTCTCCTCCAACGCTTCATTTCTATGCGTCAAGTTGTCGTAACTAGGAGCACACGAGTTCAGCTCACCATTTCACCTTGGACGTCTGGACGTAAACAAAGCGTAGCATGCCGATACAAACTTTATATCTACGCTTGCACTGCGTTGCTTCATTCACGAGTCACGGCATAATGACTTCTCGTCACCCTGCCGATCATTACCTTCTCCCGCCTGCGTTATGCCTTGGCTCAAATATTTATCCGAGCCTCGTGTAGGCCGCTCGCCAGAAATAGCATGTGCAAGCCGGTTCAGTTGCATCCGTACTTGGCGACGTCTAGGGCGGAGGGAGCACCTCCCGATTGAGGAGAAATCTCTTGCTTCTCTTTTCTTCATTTCCCAGGTTTCGGGCTAAGATAAAATGTGGCTAACATCCCTTGCGAATATGCGAGTGCAACGTGCCTCCACTCCTCGGTTCGGGGGTACTCTGCAAGGAATAACACCTTGCCTCCCATTTACGCAACCCATGTCCTAGGGAAAACGTAACCGAGGGAATAGTGAGTTTGCTGTCACGATGATGAGATGTTCTAGACATGTAAATGCATTGATGTGGCAATGATTTTCGATCCATTCAATTATGCATTGCTTCCCTGGACTTCGCTTTATCATAATCACAAGATCTAGACACAACATAGTCGGCTGCATAAATTAGTTTCTCGGCCTCAATCGTGGGTGTGATTGCCTACATCCTTTTTGGTTGGCTGCTGGCTTTTACCAATGGACCAATAGACAGAGTGGGATCGTGGCTTGTTAAGACTTTAGAAGAGTACGCCAATACATATCTCATCACCCGAGACTCCCACAATGCGCCGCAACTGAGGTATGATACGATTTTGTGCACTGGTTATGAGGCCACAGTGTGAAAGTGGTTGGTTTTTTTCTACAGCAGTGAAATGATACGATCTGTCGAAGAGAAATACAAATACCGCAATTTGAGAGAACTGCGCATTTACTAATAGCCACATACGAAAAAACTTCAGTCAAAATAGATAACAGGAGGGAGGTCGAATGCGAAGAACTGCCAGTAGAAGTGAGGCGTCGAATTGCCACTTCTCGATACCGTATCGCGAACAGACTCATGAATGCATGAAGGTTGTGAAAACGACCCAAAAAAATGGAACGACAAAATATCAATCAAATTTTTGGGTAATTCTCATGTGTACGTGTATATGGTGCGAAAATAATGCTACATAGTCCCATGTTCAAGAAAATGTGAAAAAGTATCATAGTACTATAACGGCGCCGACCAACGAGAACAGCAGAGCAGAACCCACGGAATAAATATATCTATCACATCCGTCCAAAGACCGTACCAAGGAGAAGGCAGCGGATGATTGCGTTGCGGTAGCTGAAACTTGTGCTTTGGCCGTTGTTGCGCTCGACCCCGTAGGAGACGCCTAAATCACGAAGATGTAAACATCCTGGTCTCACTTCAGAAATGTTCTCTTACCGTTGAAGTTATGGTTGAGGATTTAGAGGTTGTAGTGGTGGCAGCCCCAAGAGCAGTGACGGTAGTGCACTGGGAGGATGAGGGAATTGGGTGAGGAGCAGGTGTGTTAGGTTGTCCCTGCTGCCAGGTCGCTCCATCGTAGACACCCATGGGCTGGCCACTGTCACCCTGACACGATTCAAATACTCCAGGGCTGTAGTTAGCGGGCATGTTCCATGCACAACCCATGACGTCGTAGATGTGTTGACCTGAAGAGGAGATTAGATATAGGAACCTGGTGAGAGAAGGGATGAATACTCACACCACCCTGGGGCATTGTTGCCGGTAGGGTTACAAGCCCGGAAGCAGAATTGGTCTGCGGCCATGAAGCTCTACAAACTCCGTCAGTACATACCTTCGACAATAGAAGTATAACCCACCGTCCACTCGTGTATCTGTTGGAGTTCTCCGAATGCTGATGAGAAGACTAATCCACCAATCGGGTTACCATTGCCGTCCGCTCCATGAGGATCCAGCTCTCCTCCGCTGTCGCCGGCTGGGACGTTCATCTTTGTGAAGTCTCCAACACCAGTGACTTGAACCTACGATATTCATAATGATCAGTAAATGATTACCTCCCCTATAGCTTTGACTCACAAAGTCCGGTGTCTTAACGAAATGAGCCCCGGTGATAGCGTCGGCAGGGATCGTGCGAGTACCGTAGCCCGACTAAGAGATGATGAGTCGACGCAAATACGTACGCTGAAAAATGTTTACCTTGAGGCACCACGAAACTTCAATACGCTGCACAATATGAATAAGCCCAAGCTGCAGTAAGGGTAGGTTTCTAAACGTACCTCGGTCTCTCCGATTCCGGAGTTTGGGCCGGGTTCGGGTGGACTCCAGAGGCAGCTGCATGTGATTGAGATAGGGATGTACCCCAATCTGGCGGTAACTTACAAGTCATCAATTGAATTAACTGCAGAAAAGTTAGCGGGGGTCTCTTTATACACGAAGAGTTCACGTACTGTAGGCATTCTGACAGTTCGACTTTTGGTCGTTTGTTGTCCCGCACTTGTTTGTGCCGGCCTGGCCCTGTTCGGAAGTTACTGGGGCGTTGTTCGGTAGATAAGTCGCGGTGTATTGAGCGTAAGCAACACCGGCGAACGACGAGAGAAGTGCGAATCGAGAAACCATTGAGGATGTGAATGTGTGAATGTGCGAGTGGGACTGAAGAAGATAATTTCCATCCGTTACTGCGCCCTGGTATAAGTAGGGGAACGCCATACCAGAAACATCAACATTGTCTATGTACGATCGAAACCTCATCAAGACATCTCCACTAGTGTTGACGAAGCGGACCCAAATTAATGATCGTATCACTGAGACGTGACCGTAAGCGGCTAGACACTGACAGGCGTCCTTGAAATTATTGCAAGATCCTTGCCAGGAGTATATGGATGCTGTACGACAGAGTGAGCCGGGGTTATTTTTGTAGCACAGCGATCAACTGAAACCTACAGTCCCAAAGGCAGTACGTGTAATTCCTCCTTTTTTCAACGCACCCGTACGGGCTTCATTCTGACGAGCATGAGCCGATGGAGTCTTCACATGCCATTGAGTTTCAGATCTAGAGTAAGAGGCGACGACGAGACATGAGGAAAAAAGAAAGACTATCATAGTGAATCAACATACGAGACATAGATAACATGAGTTTCCTACGATTTCGAGAACAGGGCACCCAGGCTCCGATGTAGGCGGCGCTTTCAGACCGTACACACCAGGAGGCGGTTTAGTGCAACATTAATGATTCGCGTTTCATCTGAAAGATAAGGATGCTAAAGGTAAGAATCTGGAAGGTTCGATACTACTGGACGTACCAGTGGAGAAAGTAAGGTCATGGGCGTAGGGCCGAAGTTCTAAGAATATCTCGGTATCAGTATGGTCTAGCGTCGATTCCCATCTGCCATCCGCTGATGACTTATAGCGAGAGCCTGTAAATCTGAAAACAGGTAAATATCCTGCAACAAGTAGGGCGAACTGGTGACGCACGAGGGGCCGCAGTGTATCTCAATGAGATCCGTTCTTGAGCGCTCCGGAAATGACAGCCCACGCTCCTTTTTCATCGTACGCGACTCAACATTGGCAATCAGGTTGTATCCGAATAAGGTGCGCATACAGTCGAGTATAATCTGGTAGAGACAGATGAGAAAGTGTCGACGAGTAAGAGTAACACATTGCACTAGCCAGGTCAACGCCTTTCGCAATGGCGTCTCTGGATTGCGATACGTCCTGTCATTGCAACCGTGGTACATATTTGCCGAGACTGTATTGGACCTGAAGTGTGGTCAGACTTGCGCAGACTAGGCAACTCTAGCTCCTCTGAGAACACCGGTAGACACCCTTCTTAACAGAAGAAAACGACAGTGTCTCGACGCAACGCAGACTCCGAAAAGGCGCATATACCCAGCTCTTCAGGCGCAAATCCGTGAGAAAAGAAGGAGCCATCAGAGATAAGAAGCTGACGCACCCAGCGTCGTTATCGACAACCCATTCATGACCGACTTCCTGGGATTCGGAGGGTACTTTCATCGCTGTGTTATAACGTTCCTTCCGAAGGTCGGAGACGAATTTTCTTGGGACTGATAAGAAATTTTGAGAGCGCCCAACACGGATCCATCGGAATACCAAAAACTCACACCAGATTTCAGCGTAGAAGCTGCAGCCATTGAGGAGAGCAAAAGCAGGAAACGGTACCCAGTGCCACAACGGCGCGATGATGGGGGTTAGAGTCAACGTGCGCAACAACCAAACAAACAAAGCATCTCTTCCTCTTACAACCATCACCTCACATCAGGATACCCCTTTCCCGACGCGTCCTTACCCTGTACTGGCTATTGTTATCACTGCCTGAGAAGGCTAGGATAAGCTTACAATAATAGTCCCGGAATCCGCGATAACGAGGTGCCGAAATGCTCTCCTAGATCGCACAGAGAAGCCAGCCTTTGCGATATGGATACAGAATGGATATCTGTCCGGCTCATTGTACGCCCGTTT